GCTGCTTCATTCTCTCCACTGTCCAAATCCTCTTCCTTTTCATCCTAAAATGTGCTCCCTGCACAGGCCTCCCCAACCATTCCCCCAAGACAGCCCGCAAAGCTACACTCCAACACACTTATCTTTGGAGCTTCCTTGAAGATGAGTCTTGCTTAGAAGAGTCCATCGTGGAAGAAGGGGAGTGAGGATCCCTCATCACCCTGCCCTGCTACTGGTTTGCTCAGCCCCAAATTGTCGGCAGGACAAGCAGGGGCCCCTCCCTGAAAGCTTTGTTTTCGTTCAAAGATAAAACATAGCCCTTAGAAATAATTCAAACGTGAGTGGTCACGGAGTTTCTGTTTGAGGAGACCAAAAGCTTTAGAGATAGTGGCACAAGCTTGTGAAGGTGATTAATGCCACTGAATGGTACACCTCAAAATGGTTAAAATTGTAAATGTTATGTCATATATATTTTACCACCACAAAAAAATTGCAAAAAAATTATATGATATGAACCTCTGCAGGCTGCCAATTGCTTGTGGTCTCCACGATGCCTGGAACAGAAGGGGGCCTGGCAAGGGAGGAGGGGCTTCAGAAAGGCTCGGGGAGAGGAGAGATAAGATAAAGGAGCCCAGAGGAGCCTTCCACCCTGAGGCCTGAGCAATCCCAGCTCAGGGCCCTGCTGCCTCCGGAATTCAGATTTGGGTCCACCTACAGTGGACCCTGTGTGCTCACTTAGTTTTCACAGCAAGGGAATAAGGTCAGTGTTATGATTTCAGTTTTATAGATGAGGACCAGAAAGTTGCCTAAAGCCACACAGTTAGTGGCCAAGCTGGGGCTCAGCGTCCAGTCTGATACCAAACTCCCCCGTCTAACCACCATTATGTGATTGGCGCACCTGCTGGGATGATAGATCACAGGGAGAAAGGAGCTCTTCCTTCCTCATAGCTGCTTACCCAGAATGACACAGCCGTGACTGGGGGTGGTCTGGAGGGTGCTGCTGGATGGGTACCCTGAGACACCTGGGAAGGAAGGCCCAGAAGCCTGAGGTGCAGGAGCATGTATTAGAAGCTAGGGTGCTACTGGTTTCTCCACAGAGGGAGACAGTAGGCAGGGGAGGGAGGGCCAGTGGGGCTGGGGGTCTCAGGTGGAGGTGGCCAAACAGGGAGGAGAGAGGAGCAGCCCAGACCAGGCTGGGGAAGGAGGAGGAGGTGCTGGCTGTCGTTGTCACTGTTGTCTGGGACATGCCTAGGCCGGTGCCCGAGGTTCAGGGGTACGGGCCATTTCCACTCTGAGTACAGGGCTGGGGGTGATCGGACCTCTGAGCAGCGCTTGTAAACTTGAGTACAGAAACTGGGGAGGACATGGCTTGAAGCTGGGTGAGTGTGCTGACGACAGAGATTCGCCTCAGGGTTTCTGTTCCCAGAGGACATCGAGGGACAGAGCTGTGGCCAGTGGCCACCAGGGCTAAGGGTGCAGTTGGGCCCTATGGTGCTACCAGAGGGCCTGCAGGGGCAGAGCGTCTGAGGTCCAGGGCGAAGGCTGCCCAGTGCCCACCCAGTTGTAGTCAGGGCTCACCGTGGCCCTGAGATGGACCGAGGGGGGTCTCCCTCTCTCTCGGACATGCCCATGGGCCCCCCCCCAGATCCACCCTCATCCTCATCCTCCCCAGATGCTCCCTTTCACACACATTCCATTCCTCTCCTGGTTTGGCAGTCTCTGCCAGGGTCCGAACTGAGGACCTGGTCCTAAAAGGACCTCTTCTGTCCCCTCCCAGCATGTAAGTGCTGGTGGTGTCACACTCTGCTCGGGTCTCCCCAGGCTTCAGAGGATTGGTGAGTTAACCCAGAACTATAGGTGGGGACCCCACAGGCCTGGAAAGTGGGGGTTGGGAGCAGGGCTGACGCCTGGGCTGCTCTCCGGTGAGGCTCCCCGTGATGGGCTGGGCCACTTCCAGCGGAGGCTGCAGCTACTACACTTCACATCCCCCTTCCCAACAAACAACACGTCCTCCCTGGGGGTGAGGCAACAGGTGGGACAGCAGGCAACATGGCAGACGGACCTGTTAGTTGGAAGCAGGAGGGGAGAAGAAGCTGATAGGTGTTGGTGTTGAAAACAGACATTCTGGGAAATAAAAAGGAGCATTTGCTCCTCAATCCGTGCCCCACTGCCCCCACTTTGGGTGAATAACAGAGGATTCAGTGGGATTTCTATTTCAAATTCCTCATTTATTTTGACATTCACTTGGTTGTGACTCCAAGTTATCAAAGATGCAGGACAGGACATCGGTTAGCAGGAGCAGTGAGGTGGAGGTGGAGACGAGATGGCGGAGAGGACAGGGTGTTCCCAGCCTCTCCTCTTCCTCCTGTTAGGGTGCAATTTGAAAAGTGTCCAGAGTGTCCCACAAGTACAGACTCCACAGCTAAAAAGTGCAGCGCAGTTGAATGGGTGAGCTCCCTCTTCCGTAGGTAAGGCCCTCACAGCGACAGGGAGGCGGACAGGCAATCTGGAGACTGTGCCCTACACACCATGGGGGTGTGTAGGGGAGAGCCATGGCCCATCATCTCTCCAGTGCCCCAAACCCAGGTTTCGATGTGTAGATTGACAAGATCTAGGCTAGGAAAGCTACAGGAGGAGAGGGGACTAAGATGCTTTTCGCTAAGGGACCCCAATAGATCAGAGCAAGAAAGAAGCAGGTGATAGTTGACTGGGCCGTCTTGATTTCCGCAAAGGCAGGAGGAACAAGGACATTATGTCTTGGTGAGGAACAACAGCCTTTGCTGTGGTGGATTGGCTGTGGAATTCCCGGGCAGCAAGGCACTGGGTATGTTCATCAGGAGGCCACCGTGGCTGCCAGACCCAGCAGCTCATGTCTAGGGGGTGCGCTTGGCCCAATAAGGACTGATGATGGGATGGGGGATGTTAAAGTTGCTGTCCTAAACCTGCTCCCTGGATCAGGAGACAGATCTCATTACCCCCTGCCTGGAGCTGCCTCCTGGTACGAGGAAATGCTACCATTTGAGATCACCCAGGAGGAGAACCAGTGTTTGCTTTTCACTGACAATAAAAATCATTCTGCCTGCTAAACCTGATTTTCACGGTGGTCATTCAGCCCTCAACACACATTCCCGCACGCTGGGTCAGGCAATTGGCAAGTGCATCTAGCCCCTGCCGGGATTGGGGCAAGGAAAAGGAGCACGGCAGGCAAATATTTTCAGGAAGTCCTGGCTGTGTGGAGCACTAATGGTCTCCTAGGGTCTGTCTGGGCAGGTGGCAGGTCTCATTTGCCTGGAGAAAATGGGTTCTCAGAGAAGTTAAATAACCAGTCCTAGAGCTAATGAGTGACCTCAGTGTGACCAGACCCCAGGTCCTCTGATTCTTAACCCGGTGTGCCCTGATCACAGATGAGATGCAAGGTGACAAGTGCCCAATGAAACGAGGTGTGATGAATTCTCTCCCTCCTCCCCTCTCTGCCGGCTGCACCTGGCCCTTCTCCAACGCGAAGTCATGATTTCAGCACAGGGGCTAGCTCTTTCCCTGCCCGCCATCTGCAGAGGCTGTGACCCAGAAGTGGTGGGGGGTGGGCATGCCGTCAGAAAGGGGAGCAGCCACCCCTTACTGTAGAAGCAACTGGAAAATTCATCAGGTGCATTCCCTCAAATGGCATCAGGCCACAGCGGAGTTCTAAGTGGGAAGTGAGGGCTGGGCTCGGGCAATTAACAGGCCCTCGCTGGAGCCTGGGTTTTGGGGGGTGCAGCGGAGGGAGGGCAGCAAGCATGGAATCCAGGAGTGGGGGCTGCTGACCCCGGGGGAATGAAGTTGTCCAGCTCTGTGAGGACATGGCTGGCTGCCCGAGTGGGACGCCGGGCCTCTAAAGGGGCGTACCTGGCTTCAGTGCTACAGCATCGACCCCTGGGAGACTCTGCGGGCTTTCCCGTACCAGCCGGCTGGTTGCCATGGGACGAGCCACCTTAATCACCTTTCACTCATGCTGTCTGAAGGTCGGGTTTTCCTTTCTAGTTGATACATCAGAGACTCTTCCACTCTGCAGCTCCCAAAGCTGGCAAAGCCCCTGGTGTGTGATGCGTGTGTGTGGTGACAGGTGTGTGCACCCCTGAGAACACACACCCCCTCACAGCACTGCTCCCACACGCGCCACTCAGGGTGGCAGACCGGGGCCCCAGAGACCATGAGCAAGAAGATCTTGTTTGCTGAGCTGCTCAAACTCAGTAACATAACTTGAACCAGGTTCTCTAGCAGAGGCAGCTGGTCCCAGAAGCAGAGAAAGAGGATTTGGGGGGAGACAAGGCTGGGCATCACTTTTCAGTGCATTCCCCACAAATAACCTTATGTCACTGCCTCCCAAGTCCACTCACTGTGTCCCGCGAGGAAGGGGAATGTAGTGTGTTCCAGAATCAGCATCCCCATGGGAGCAGCTACAGGGACTGCTGTCCCTGTGATAACCAAATACCAAGCTGGATCGTGAACTGGGACTCGTTCTAGCAAGCAGGTCCCGAAGAGGTCCCCTTGACACCTTCCTCTCCCTTCTCAGGCTCTGCAGTGCCTTGCTTCTCACCTCTCCCCTCGCCCTAGGTCCCTATTCTTCTTCCATCCCCCAAGGAGTCTGGGGGCCTCCAGCGCCTTTGCTTAGCTTTCCCTGATGCCCCTCCTCTCACAGGCCAGCAAGGCTGGGGCACTGGGGCGGGGGGCAAGGGAACCAAGACGACTTGCAGCGGTGGGGCTGGAGCCTGCAGAGGAACGTCCCAGCCCAGAAACAGGTGCCGCTGCCCGGGCATCCTGCCAGCGCCCCCGCACTCGGGCCACGGGCCAGGCCCTGCTCTGGTTCTCCACGCACTCGGCAGCTTGAATTCCCCTGTGGGGCAAGAAAAGCCAAAACAAACAAACAAACACAAAACCCCAAATCCTGGCAGTCCTTGTGGGCTGTTGGACGGGTCACCTGCTGCCCGCACTGCTCCTGTCGGGACAGCAGCACTGGTCTGTGGAGGGGCCGGGGGAGGGGGTCACACGTCTGTACTAATAGCCCTTGGATTGGTGAAGGCCTCGCGCCCAGAGCCCGGCCACGTCACCGGGTAACTCTGGGGCGCTGCCAACTTGAAGGGTGGCGGTCCCCCTTCCTTGTAGTAGGTAGGAGCGAAGGGGAGCCTCTCGCCTCCACCCCCGTTGGGTACCATGTCAGCCGTCCATATGTAAAAGGGGGAGCTGTACGGGGAGCAGGTGGTGCAGTGGGCGGCCGCCACCCCGCACGGCTGGCCGCAGGGCTCGCTGGTGAGAGGCGCCAGGCCAACGCGGCCGTCCGGGGCTTGGGAGCTGCAGGCATTACAGGTGGGGTGTGCAGGCAGGTCGTGCTCCTCCTCCTCCTCGTCTGCATCTTCGGCTCTGCTCTTCTTGCAGCAGTAATACTGAGGGGAGAGTGCAGAGGGATGCCTGAGGGCTGGATGCTCCCCTTTGAGTGTGCAAAGGCACCCGCGCCCCTGCCCTGCTGCAGAGAGCTCTTTCGGGTCGGGACTACACCTTCACACCAGACACCCATGTCCCACCACTATTCCACCAGTATTCCCAGCCCTCCCAGACCAATACCTTCCCCTTTCCCTCGCCTCACTTCCTAGTGCATCATCTCCGGGCGGTGGTTGACAGCAGCAGGGCAGCAGAGGGGAGGGACACACAGTCCTACTGAGGACAGGTGTGGGGCCGCTGGGAGCAGCTTTCCTAGCCTCCCCAGAGGGGGTGCCCTTCCCACCACTCCTGAAATCTCAGATATGCCAGAGACACAACACGATGACCTGATGTCTTCCCAGCACACCCTCTTGGGGTACCCCAAAGTGTGCAGAGCGTGGGAGATGCATGGCTCCCTCCTGGTCACCCCCAACTCCCTCACATTCCAAGGCTTCGAGTGTCGTCCCCCTCGAAGTGGGCCTCCAGGTTCTGCCCCTAGAAGGGAGGGTGGTTTGCTGGTGGCCTCTGGGGACTGACCTGGAGCCTACAGTAGCACAGGACCGCGATGATGCAGAGGAGGATGACCGTAGCTAGGATTCCGCCAGTGATGACAACTGTTCCCGCTGTCATCCGCCCGATGCCCCATCAAACTCTGCAAAGATGCATGCAGAGAGGTGAGGGGCAGCCACACCGGGCGGGCCTGGGGCAGGGAGGCCTCCTGGAACTTTCTACACGCTCGGAGGCAGGGAGGACCTGAGAGCAGCTAGAAGAGCAGGGCCAGGGGCCCTGAGACACAGGGGCTTCCTGAAGACAGAGGGTGGCTGAGGCCTGGGCCAGCCTACCCCGGAGGGAAAAGAGGAAGCAGAGCCCTAACAGAAGGCGGAAGTCTGTTCTAGGTTTCTGTTGGGTTTGGAAGGTTCTTGCTGTCTTTCTTGAACTCTCCTCTCGCCCCCCCCCCCCCCCGCCCTCACCCCGAGGCTCCAAGACACAAAGACAGCAGCTTCTTTTCCCAGGGGCTTCGTCTGTGGCATAGCTCTAAGCTCTCCCGGCTTGTGGGTTACTCCTCAAAACACCTTTTGGGAGAGTCATTAATTATCTCTGTCTCACACATGATGAACTCAGGCTTTGATCGGCTGGGCTGAGATCCTACGAAGCCTGGTTCACCCCAAAGGCCATGCTCTTGGCTGCCTGCCAGGGCACAAACAGCCCTTGATCAGGGGGCGGGGACGGGGTCTGAATCTTAAAAGTTCCACCTGGTTCTATCCTGGCTCAAACCCACACTCCTACTGGGGGCATCCCTGCTCTCTTTCCAGCTCTTGTGGAAAACTAGGGCAAGGTGAGGCCGCAGGGAGTGGGTGACAGGCAGCGTCCTGGCTCCTGGAAGGTGGTGGCGAGACTGGAGGATGGGTCCTGCTCACGGGGGTAAGGTTCTGGACGTGAGGCTGTCTGGCCCTGGGCAGGCTCCCTTCCAGGCACTGAATGGGGACTTCCCAGCCCCCCGGGCACATGGGGACCAAGGCTGGATGGGCCAGGGCAGCAGGGTGGGTGGGGGGACTTGGCTTCTGGAGGAAGGAAGCACGACCATAAGCACTTACGTTCAGGAAAGGGAACGGTGACCTGAAAGACAAAAAAGGGGACAGGGATGTGGGAAGAAGAGTGTTACCCCTGAGAAAGGGTTGGATAACTCCCTAAGCCCCACCTTACCACCCCCAGTTTGCCTTCCCCACTGTGAGCTCTGTCGCCGCCACTAAGCCCACACACACCCCCGAGAGGGTCTCCAGCTGTGCCTTGCTCTGTGGCCAACAGACATTGCACCTGAGTGTCCCTCTGGGGTGTCAGACTCTGGTATGACAGTTTAAGGCATCACTCTCTTTCCAAATGGGCACCCCCCACCTCTCTGTTAATTGCTTCCCCCAGAGCCGCTGAGGGGTCCAGCAGGCTATTCATTACTCGAAGGGCAAGTGTGACTGGACCACAGCCTCTGTCCACTTTGGAAGTTGTGCACCCTGTGTTCACCCGGTGGAAGGGGCACCTTCACCCACATACCATCTGCCCCTCACCATCATCGTGCCCCCGCCCAGCATGCTTTGCCTTGCCCCACTTGCCTGCATGCTCCCCACCAATTTTTCTTCCCTCCTCACCTGGCACTGCCCCCCACATGAATCCTCCCCACCAGGCAGGCCCAGTTCTTTTTTTTTTTTTTTTTAATTTTATTTATGTATTTGACAGAGAGAGAGAGAGAGCACAAGCAAGGGCAGTGGCTTAAGGAGAGGGAGAGGCAGACTCCCCACTGAGCGGGGAGCCCGATGGAGGGCTCGATCCCCAGACCCTGGGATCATGACCTGAGCCAAAGGCAGACACTTAATCGACTGAGCCACCCAAGCACCCAGGCAGGCCCAGTTCTTAAGAAGCTTAGAGTCTAGTGATGAAAAGACACTTAACATACCTTGTGATATGGCGTAAGACACACAGACCAGGGGCTGTGGGGACACAGAGGAAGAAGTAACTAACTGGTTGGGGAAGGTTCCCTGGAAGATGTTATGCTTGAGCTGGGTCCTAGAAGCTGAATGGGGGTGTGCCCTGTAGGCAAGTAGGCAAGTGGAGAGGCCAGGTGTGTGAAAGACCATGAGGCATCCTGGAACTGTAAGGAATCTGGAAAGGCCGGGTAGGGTGGGCACCAAGTGGGGAGGCTGTAAGCCAGGTAAGGACTGGCATTTAACTCTCCTGGAGGCCACAGGGGTTCCTGAGGGGCTGCTGCTAGCACAGTGCATGAGCCCGCTCTCTCCACCTGTTTAGATCCTGCTCACCCTCCAGTGCTCAGAGACACCTCCCTGGCTCCCCCATCACGGAGCACTCTCTCTCTGGATTCCCACTGCAAGGCCTTTCCGTGGGCCACTTTCCAGACCTTATCTTTGCAGGATGCTTGTCAACTTTGACGTGGGAACACCTTGACTCCTCCAGTACATGAGAAGTCCTCTGGGATCAGGCGTTGGGTCCTACAGGGCTTCCTACCCCTGCGGCGTCATACAGAGCGCTAGCTGCAAGGGGTGCTGGAGGACAGGGGAGTGATCCCGCGGGTCCTTCGCGGGCCTCACAGTTAGGACTCGGACCTACCACCAGGGGGCAGCAAGCTGCATCGCTCAGCTCCCACCCGGTCGGGTCGGGTCGACCAGAGAGCATCCCGGCTCAAGTCCAATTTGACCGACTTTGCCCAGATGTAGGGTGGGCCTTGCTTGATTCGCTGGGGATTTGTGAGGGGTCTGGCTGGGGAGGAGGGTGGAGCTGAACCTCAGCCTTGGGAGAATTTATGTGCCCTCATTACAACCTGACTCCACTCTCCCCTGCTTGCCTGGCCTGCTCACCACGGAGGGTTGTTTGAGAGACAGAGAGGCCTGTGGAGTGACCTCAAGTTGAAGGCAGCAGTGACTCACTACCTGCAAGTCTTGGCCTCGCCCCCTGAGATGTTAGCCTGTTTTAGGATACAGGGAATTATGAAGCTATATAGGAACAGAACCCTCCCTCCTCCTGACCTCCCTGCCTGGCCTCCCCTCTTTGAGTACTATGAAACCGTGCAGCAGAGGTGGCCTGGAAATGGGGGAGCAGGGCAGTGCAGGCAGAGGCACAGATCTGAAGGCCCAGCTGAGGCCCAACTGTGCCATTTAGCAGCCACCCCATCTTGGAAACTGACCTCCTTTTGCACTTGGAAAAGATTAACAAAAAACTCAGCTTATAAGTACACTTGTGAGGAAAAAGTGAGGCTCATATATGCAAGGGCCCCTTAGAAACACCTAAAAGATCCTTTAAACACAGTCATTCGAGGGGAAAAGGAAGGCCCAGACATTGTTTGTGGGCTTCAGTCTGACCTTATAATCATAAACTGAGAAGGCACGTGTAAAGGGTGTGCAAGAGGCCAGCCAGGTCCTAGCTGCTTTCCCTAAAAGAGACCCCATACTAATGGTACAATTTAGCATTTAAACTATATCCAGCAGCTCTGATTATTGCAGGTGGGTTCATTTTCTCTTTGCAACCAGATGCAAACGATCACAATGACTGCCTGAATCTAAACAGCACTCTACCTTCTACAACGTGCTTCCATTTACATCCCCTCCTGTGATGGGCAGGCTCAAAGATGGCCCCACATGAGCCCTGCCTTGCGTGCTCCCCTTCCCTCGAGGGTGGATGCCATCTGTGACTTACTTCTAATCAACAGAACACAGCAAAGATGATGGGATGTCACCTCTGTGAATAGATTAGATAACATTCTGACTACTTGCTGGCTAGCCAACTCCTTCCCTTGCTGGTTTGGATGCAGCAAGTTGCCATGTTGGAAAAATCCATGTGGCAAGGAACAAGGGGGTGGCCCCCAGTCCAATGATCTAAATGGAACTGGACAATCACAGAAGTGAGAGTGGAAGTGAGTCCTTCCCCAGTTGAGCTTCGAGATGAAGAAGCCCCAAGGCACCTTGAATACAGCCTGATGACAGACTCTTTTTTTTTTTTTTTTTTATTGAGGTATAATTAATGTACATTATATTAGTTTCAGGCATATAACATAGTAAGTTGACATTTGTACACACTGTGGGCTTTTTACTTTTATTTATTTTTTTTAATTTTTATTTACTTATGATAGTCACAGAGAGAGAGAGAGAGGCAGAGACACAGGCAGAGGGAGAAGCAGGCTCCATACACCGGGAGCCCGATGTGGGATTCGATCCCCGGTCCACAGGATCGCGCCCTGGGCCAAAGGCAGGCGCCAAACCGCTGCGCCACCCAGGGATCCCCCTGATGACAGACTCTTATAGCAAGTGTCTGAGTCAGGACCCAAGGGCCAGTGCCATGGAGTTTCCATCATGCCCAACTGCCTTCTGATGAGCTTCCTAAGGACAGGAGAAAGAGGTTCCCTCCCAGGGCCTAGCAGATGGGTTCAGTGGCAGCCAAGTCAGGGATCAAGGGCAGCCAAAGAAGGCAAACCTATTGCCAACTAAAGACTCCCAGGTCTGCCCTCTGTGACCAGAACTTTTTGGACCTCACTCCCCACCAACACCCCTCCCCACCCAGGGACCAGACACCTTCTCCTGCGGGGAGAGGGTCAGCCTACACCTCACACTTACGTGAGATAGCGAAGGCTCGGTCACGCAGGCTGTGCCTCAGCAGACAGAGGTTGGGGGTGCGTCATGGCCAAGAGCATCAATTCCTGCCAGAGAAGAGAGGGGAAGGTTAGTGAGAGCTTGAAGGGGAGACCAAGAGGCCAGACAGACCCCCAAGACTATGAGGGGATGTCCCCCACAGGGCCTGTTTGCTGACAGGAACCTGAGGACAGCCCTGTAAGGCCACATCCTATCCCATCTTTGTTTCCTTCCCTTGGTGCCAGTGGCCAGAACCCGCTGCCCAACATGGTAGCAGGACAGTGGGCAAGAGCCTCTGCCGATTCTGGGAAGTGAGGCTCAGTGTGGACACAGGAGCCCAGCTCCCTCTCTCCCTCTCCTCTGGAGAATTCTGGCCAGTTCCCTGGCAAACGTGTTCCTGTTGCCTGCCTGGTTGATTCTTTTTTCTATGGCATCACACACCTCCTCCCCATTCCCTTCCCCATTCTTCCCTGGGCCTGTCCATATTCCCAGTACCCAGAGCCCACATTCCTTTCCCTTATGCCAAAATCCTGACTTCCCTCAGGACAGTGTGCCCACAGGACAGTTGTGTGAGCGAGTTCACACCCATGTGGTGAGGGAGGAGGGGGAGGCAGGATCTTCCCAGGATATTTAAGAATCCAGTGTACGCTAATTACTGAGGGCGAAAATGAAATTCATTAAATATCCACTCAGCATTATTCCCAGGAGAGTCCGGACTCTAAACTGGGAAGAAGAGAATGGGGAGAGGAAGGATGCTCTCTGGTGATGCTTAGTTCTGCTCATTGTCCTGAGGGGGGGAAGGCCCCACTGGGTGTCTTTGTATGGGGGAGGGAACGCAACCAATAACTGGATGCAAGGAGCCAGCTTCCCCACGGAGGCACTGAGGCCTCTGGGCTCTCTGCACAGCCAGAAGCTAGAGGTCAAAGGGCAGACATTAGTGTGCCTCAAGGCCTGATGCTCATCTGAGTTCAGCAGGTCTCAGGAGCAGACCTCTGAGAAAAGTTGAGAAGGCAGATGTTCACCTACAGAGTCAGCACAGCCCCTCCTTCACCTCCCCTCCAGATCTAGGCCTTCATGCCCGGGGTGTTCTGGGCACTCGGGCCTTCTTCTCTCAAAGATGCTCTCACTCTCATTAAAATGGAAGTCATACAGAACATGAGAGACACCTAACTCTGGGAAACGAACAAGGGGTGGTAGAAAGGGGGGGCGGGCAGGGGGTTGGGGTGACTGGGTGACGGGCACTGAGGGGGGCACTTGACGGGATGAGCACTGGGTGTTATGCTATATGTTGACACACTGAACTCCAATAAAAAAAATATACAAAAAAAAATGGAAGTCATTAGTGGCTAGATGTCAGTGTGGGACTCTGCTTAAGTCTTGACTGAGATGCCAACTGATAGAAAGCAGAGGAGCGAAGGGAGTTTGGGACAGATCCCTTTTCCCCAGCCCTGTGCAGGGGAATATAGAGGAGGACGTCAAAAAGTCTGTTTCAG